CCACTGTTCTAGATGAGGCCTAACCACTGCCAAACAGAGGGGAACTAATAATACACTAGTAGTTTGGAGACCATACCTCTGTTAATGCAGTCTAAAATAATATTTTCCTTTTTTGCAGCCATAAAACAAATGATGACTTTAGAGCAGGCTTGTCCAACCTGCGGCCCGAGGGCCGCATGCGGCCCAGGTTGGCTCATAATGCGGCCCAGTGCAATTTTTTATTTTTAAAGAAATTCCAAAGTTTCAAGTTACAATGCTGGTGCTTGCGGCCGGAATGCGGCTGGGGCACGTCACAACAGTAGGTGGGGAGAGGGAAAGAAGGAAGGAGTTGGAGGGGAGGGGAGAGGGGGCTGTGTGACTGCATTGCGCCGTCCCCATCAATAGGTGGACCCCCTCCCGGCCCCATAAAGCCACCGGAGTTGAAGCTGGCAGCCTCTGCTGTCTGAGATCGTAAGCGCACTTGGAGAGGGGCTCCGGAGGACAGCTAGGGCTGCCCCCACCATGCGGCCCAAACCAAATTTTCATCTTCTAATGTGGCCCAGGGAAGGTGAAAGATTGGACACCCCTGCTTTAGAGTGATGCAGCTGATGGGATCTGAATTCATTCCCCCTCTATAACATTTAGTGTTTATGTTCATCTAGCTTAGTACAGACCAACCTTTCCCAAACTGGTGCCCTTCAGATATGGTGGACTGCAGCCTACATCATTCCTATGCATCATGAACACTGACATGGGAGTCAGCAGATCTGAAAGGCACCATGTTATGGAAGACTATTGTACATTAGGGAGCAGCTCTCCGAGGCTTGAGACAGGTGTCCTTCCCAGCCTTACAAATGGAAACAGTATGTGGTCCTTGTGCAATCCAAAGTCAATGAGGGGTGATATAATAAAGCAATTACATATTACAAATAAATACTAGCTTTCAGTCCATACAGGCCTTCATGAGGTTAGGTGCCACTTATTTTCCGTATCTGCCAATAGTAATTAAATTGTTCTAAAGTTACTAGACAGAAGTACCCCGCCCACACCTTGCACTGAAACAAAAAAATTTATTTTCTTTGGCTGGGTACGTGGGTGACAGCCTTCACCAGAAGAGGCCTAGGATTGGAACTGGGACTGTTTGCTTGCAACTAAGCTGCCAAAATACCTCGTTGTCATCTTTACTGACCTGAAATGCAGATCAATTAGCTTCCTGTTCTGTCAGCAAGAAATAATAGGTGCAGCCCATATACCAAATGTCAATAAACAAGAAATTAGTATTGTGTGTTTTCACAAACTTCCTGCAACCTCACTGCCAATTTCTTAGACTCACATTTAGGATACGTGAAGCTCTCCAGCTATCCCTGTCTTTAAGACGAGCATGCAAGAAATTACTTGCAAGGTAGACACCTCCCCACTGGCAGGAAAAGAAAGTGAAACATGTTTCACAACCTGCAAAATGTTTTGAGCTGTTAAAGAAGCCCTCTAGGCATCTTTGAATGACAGCAGAGGCTCAGGAGTGCTTAAAATGCCTTCACCAAACCAGTAAGTCTCCTATTGATGCTGACTAGAGATGGGGGTGTTCATATTTGTAGAATAATATGAATATCTCCCCACAGGTGGAAAAAATGAAGGTCCGCCACCATGGAGCCGGACCGTGCACTCACTGTTTGCCTGCTGCCACAGGTGCAGCAGCACCATCCTATCGTGCTGTGCTCCGCAACAGATTAGCCACCGTCTGACCTGGCAGAGAGGCATAGCATCCCTCCTCCAGCCAGGAGTGGCTAATCCATTGTGGGGCACAGAGCAATAGGACGGTACTGGTGCGCCCACGGCAGCGGCCAACTAGTGAGTGGACAGTCCGGCTCCATGGGACCCTCAGTATTTCCATCTGTGGGGAGACATTTCTATTTGTCTATGAATATGGGAGGCAGTGGAAGACAGGAGGGCCTGGCGTGCTCTGGTCCATGGGGTCACAAAGAGTCGGACACGACTTAGCGACTAAACAATGAATTCAAATGCCCCCATCTCTAACGCTGACCATTTTAAAGACAAGTACACCTTGTCCAATTTAGCATTTGAATTATAAAGAACTACAAATCCCCAAACACACACTTCCACCATATACACAGTTGTGTCAACAGCTTAACTCAATATGAAAGAAAACTCCCTTCTCAGCTGTTCCAGGTGGAAGACAGCTGTTTCCTTCCTTTTGAGTCACATGTTTGAAGATACTAGCAAAATTAAAGGGGGAAAAGTTGAAATATTTAGGCACTTTAAAGAATAATACAGTGGTGCCCCGTTTGGCGACGATAATCTGTTCCAGGAAAATCGCTGTTAAGCGAAATCATCAGCAAGCGGGGGAAAAACCCATTGGAATGCATCAAAAACCACTTAATCTGTTCCAGTGGGGAAATACCTCATCGTACAGCGAAGATTGCCCATAGAGAACCGCCGATCAGCTCTTTAAAATCACTGTCTTCCAAAGCCTCTGTCTGGAAAACAGCCATTTTGCCGGGGAGCCATTTTGCACAGTGGGGAGCCATTTTGAGACCTGCCGATCAGCTATTTTAAAATCGTCGTAATGCGAGGAATCGATTCCCGAAGCAGGGAACCGATCGTGAAGCGGATTTTCCCATAGGAACCATCGTTTTGCGATCACAAAAAAGTCATCGTAAACCGATTTTGACGTCATGCGGGGTAAGCGTCTAGCGGGGCACCACTGTAGATGGATTTCAGCTTTTGTGGATGAAAATCCACTTCTTCAGACACAAGGGTATCTTTGTTACATGATGACAAGCTTTCTGAGTTGGTGAGGATATAGATTATAAGCAAAGTCGTACCATTTTGTTAACACAAGAATGGGACTATGAAGTTCTTAAGTGCTTGGCCGTAGCCAAGGAACAAGCTGTATGCCAGATAGACTTTGCTGTCACAGAAATGGAGAAAATTGTTTCTGGCATAGCAGCCAGAGTCTGTCCAGGGAGACATAAGAATGTTATACCCTTCAGATATTGTAGAATGCTGAACTGTTCATATATAGTGCTCTAGGAAGCCTCGATCTCTGTTTAGGCCCTGGGAGACGCAGTGGAGCTTGTTCACGTAGCCAGTGTTGGTTTTCTCCCTCTTGAGGCCCAAAGCCCTCCACAAAAACTCACACAGAAATAAATCTAAATGCAGAAGCCGCTGATACCTTTATTGGACCAGTGAATAAATTAAGTAGATAGCTAGGTTTCCACGATAATCCATCTTCCCCAGGCTCTGTCCCAAAGGTTCATGGCATCGTTGTGATTAATGCCAGGCAAAGTTTTCTCAAGGTGAGGAGCAGTACGCAAACAGCTTGTTTGGGGGTGGGGGGTGGGTGTTCCTCCCCAAGCATCATCTTGGAACTTATCTGACTTCTCTTCAAACAAAGTCCCACAAGCAGTGTGCATCACCCTACCCTCCCATTGCCTTCTTTTGAAACAGGAAGTTTCTGTATGTGTGTATGTGTTTGGGGGGTTTGGCACCAGAGACGTTGCACAACTCCTTGGGAAAGCAGCCCTTGTGTTAACGCTTTTCTGGGCGAAACCCCCAGCCTTCCTCCGTTGTCACGGGATCCCACCTGCAGGGGGCAGCAGCGAACAGGCACGTTCAGGGCCCCCCTCCCTCCCTTCTGCTCAAACAAGGGACTGCTATGGAAACTCT